CTGATGGGAAAAAATGAGGCAGGGTTATTCTTTGTACTTGTTCTAGGTAGCTAAATCAAGACATATGGAAGCACTGCACACTCCAGTCTGGGTGACCGAGTGAGATTCCAACTCAAAAAAAAAAAAAAAAGACATACAAGAATGCTCAGAGCTGTAGTATTTGTGATGGCCTCAATCGGAAAATTCTCCAAATGCTTATTTAAAGCAAAAAGAAAAAATAAGTTGAATATATACCCAGAGTGTAATACAACATAATATGAAGGGGGATCCTAAAAACTGAAATTTATTTACAAAACATTGTGTTTTTATTCTTACATGTTTAAACTTCAGTCACCTTCAAAGTACTCTCCATTTGATACAATACACCTATTGAGACGATTTTTCCACTACTCAAAACAATTTTTGAATTAGTCAATTTTGATGCCTTTTAGTGCTTCTGTTGTTTTTTGTTTTACTTCTTCCACTTTGGCAAAATATTTCCCTTTGAGGACTTTTTCCATCCAGGGAAACAAAAAAGTCACTTGGGTGAGATTGGGAGAATTGGGAGGGCAGGGCACAAAGGTCATGCTGGTTTGGGTCAAAAACTGCTGAACACTCAGCGTGGTGTGGGCAGGTGTGCTTGTAAATCATCCATCACAAAATAGGCAAACGTGTTGAAAGAATCACTGAAGCCAAACATAGCCTCTCATAATAACGCTAGCTGGCACACTGATGCCGATGCGTTCCTAGAACACTTACCTAGTGGGCGAAGCCTGTACTACAAGGCCCCCACCCTCCAAAAAATAATTTTGATTTTTGGAGGATCTCCCTTCATAACAAACCATTTACACCCACATGCCACAGTACAGATCAGTCTCACAGCATGAAGCTCAAGAAGGCAGATATGAATGACTATACACAATATATTTTACATAAAATTTATATAAATCTAATTTCTGGGAATATGAAAGATGTCAGAAGGATGTCACCTTTGGAGAGGTGGGACAGGCAGCAATTTGATGAAGGTCCGGGGAGTTTGGGGGGGTGCCAAGGATGTTCTAGCTCAGAATTTTGGCCATCAAGGCCCAGGCAAGTGTGTTTCATGAAAATTAATCAAGCAACACACCTATGATATTTGTACTCTTCTGTACTCAATGATGTACTTCAGTTACAAACTTTATCAAACTAAGCAGAAATGTTGTGGGTAGTACTTGTTAACAGAAATAGTCTTCAAGATGTGTCAAATTTAAAAAGGAAGCTATAAAATAATATTTACTATGATCCAAATTTCACAAAATGTGGATGTGTACCTATCTATGGGTATATGTGTGAACATATACATACTTAGACAACAATAATTACTTCTGGACAATAAAACTCTGGGTGATTTTAAAACTATTTCTTATACCTATCTTGATATTTTTTCTACCACAAACATTAATTCTATAAGAAAAAATATGTTATTTTAATGCAAAAGCAGTCTTCCAGCAGCTGGAGTTTGTACCATGAACACAATAGAAAGAAAATAGCAGGTTGGATTTCAGCAGTCATTGGGCCACCCCTACCATGCCTCTGGGGCCTAACTCAGTCTAGCCTAAGTAGAAAGACTGCAGAAAGAGGAATAGTCCAGCTCTGAGGCAGGAATGCCCTATTCACATGTCCACCCTTCCACTTTAGACAGAGGATGCTAGGAATATTAACCTCTCTGTATCTCAGTTTCCCCATCTACAAAATGGAAAAAGAGCCTCAGAGAATTATGAGCAGGAAGTAAGATAAAAACCTCTTCCAAGCTTAGAATCGTACCCAGCATGTATTTTAGGTGCTCACTGGTATACTAGCTATTATCATCACTACCATCATCATTATACTATTTGTGCCATTGTTATTCTCTCTACTCATTATCCTGAATAGCTGTTGGTCATTTTACTGTGCTCTGAAATCACCTGAGACCATAAGAGAACAGAAACAAGACAGTCAGTAATGCTGAGCCCAAGAATTCAGACTTCGATCCTACTGGTAGCAGCAATCAAGAGAACAGTCAGAATAATTACCAGGCCACATTTCCTTCCTCTTCCCTGCCCTAAGTCAGGCCACAAAGGAGGTATATTTTCAGATTGCAGTCTTGTGTGTCCTCAGAGTGTTTTGAAAGGTGTCCTCTCTCAAAACCTCGTTTTTGCCTGGGGTCAGAGGGAGAATGGATGGTATCTGTCACATGGTGACTATACTCATTCATTCATAGTAGCTGAAAGGCATTTTAAAATCTCAGCACTTAAAAAATTTGAATTGTCGGCGGGGCTTGGTGGTGGCTCAGCCTGTAATCCTGCACTTTGGGAGGCCTAGGTGAGTGAATTGCCTGAGCCCGTGGGTTCGAGACCCGTCTGGGCAACTTGGCGAGACCTCATCTCTACAATAAATCAAAACAATTAGCCCGATGTGGTAGCACATGCCTGTAGTTCCAATTACTTGGAAGGCTGAGGCGGAAGGATCGCTGGAGCCCACCAGGTGGAGGCTGCGGTGGCCGGGAGCATGCCACTGCACTCCAGTCTGGGCGAAAGAGTGAGACTCCAACTCAAAAAATAATAATAATAATAATTTGAATTGTCTAGTAATACTGAAAACTAGACGTGGTTGTGGTAACACCCACAACAAAACACTGCTGTCTAAAAAACCCTCCCTTTGGTTCATTTATGACTATGTTTACAGACACTTAAATTGGTTTCTGTATTCTATTGTAAGTCCTTGACATAGGTACCTTAAATGTGCTTGCAGCTATTTCTGGGCAGCCACGAGAGGAACGTTTCAGTCCTACCCACCCAGTCCGCTGAACAAGCAGGACCACTGCCCAATTTGTATGCCTAGGCAGTTCCCCATGCCCTGCAGGCATCCAGCCAGGCTCAGTGTTCTCTACTGTCCCTCCCAGAAATCCCAATAGGACCTCTGCTGGTGGCTCTGGCCTTGACTTGAAGCAGGCAAGAAGACAGTCATGGTACACAGTGTCCTCTTGTGGAAAGAGCTGCAAATGCCTGACACTAAGAAAAGATCCGTTTCCTTAAGTGAGTCAGAGGAAGTCAAGGCTGGCAGTAGCAACCCACCTATTTTATGCCGCAGTTAATGTTGCCCTGTGAGTTTGTGATTGGCATACGTTTTTCCGAGTTGTATATTTTCAGTACTTGACTTGAGAGACAGGAATCCTAAAATCCTACATCTGTGCTTGTGTGTGTGTGTGTGTGTGTGTGTGTGTGTGTGTGTGTGTGTGTGTGTACTATCATTGTCGTTGTTTTTTGGTTTTGTTTTCAGAAAATAGATGTGATTTCAAACTTACCCTATTTCACTTTGATAATTAGATTCTGCAAAAGAGAATAAAATCGCATTAGAAAAATCAAGATGCTTACTTTTAAAATAAAATCTCATTGATTTCTGTAGACTTCCTGATTTTAATAGCCCTCACCTTAGTACTGTGACCCAGAAGGTATTACTAAGTTCTCTCACAACACATTATCAAATGACTTCCAAGGATAAGGAAAGTAGAATTCACTGTTAACCATCAGAAAAACAAATAATCCCTAGGACTGAAAAATAGTAGGTGCCAATAAGTACTTAGTAAATAGATTATAAAGTCCCTATTCAGCGAGAAGACAGGCTCTGAATTATCAATCACAGCTGACATTCATTCAACACCACACCAGCTCTTTGCAAAGTATAATCACATTTCATTGTTACAACAACCCAAGAGGTAGGTGTTAGTGTTATAATATTTTTAACTAGACACTATTATAGTAGTAGTATCATATTTCTTTAATTTGGAGATACATTTTCAATCAATATGTACCAATGCTATCAACTAATGCATCTGTGCCCTTCTCCCCCAAAAACGCTGTCATTAAATTGCTAATGTTTTTGATCAATGGATTCATGGGCTATAGGGAATCTAGAATTTGGAAACAGGAAATAGCAAGGCATTGATTTCAAAATAACAAATGCACTGATTTCATATGACTTAGAACATCTCAGAGAACTTCATTCAAAAGAAACATGTAATCATTGTTACTAATTTCATTTGTACTTTTTTATTAACAGAAGATCTTATTTTCTTTTTACTACTACATCAACATTCTCCTATAAAGGGAGATTTATAATTCTTTAAAATAGGAAACAACGTTTTAATGTGCTCAGATATGTAGGTATTATTCTGGAAAAACCATAACATCTAAATGACATTACAATAGCCATATATCCTTACAAATAAGCACAAAAACTAAAAATCAGTGTCTGGTGGGAAAAGCACCACTTCATCACCTTCTTAACAGTGTAAAGATTCTGGCCTTCCTGAAGGGTTGCATCAGAACCCAAAAGAACGGCTTCCTTTCTTAAAAGAGTCCTTTCCTTCCCTAAGAATTTCCCATAATTCCTTTCAAATGCTCTGAAAGTCAGTTTTTCATTTGTTTTGCCTTTATTTTGTTTGTTGTTGTCTTCCCAGCTTTATTAAGATCCAACTGACAATTGAAAATTGTATATATTTAGTGTACAATGTGATGTTTTGATATATATGTATACATTGTGAAATGATTAAATCAATCTAATTAACATATTCATCACCTAACGTATTTATCACCTTTCTTGGAGAGACTATTTAAGATCTGTTCTCTTAGCAACTTTCAAGTGCACAATATGTCATTAACTATTGTCACCACGCTGTGCAATAAATCTTCAGAACTCATTTCACTTGTTTAACTGAAACATTGTACCCTTTGACCAACATCTCCCCAAACCCCTGCACCCACCCCCTGGTAACCACCATCCTACTCTCTATTTCTGAGCTTAATTTTTTTAGATCCACACATAATTGAGATCATGCAGTATTCGTCTTGCTGTAGCTGGCTTACTTAACTTATTGTAATGCTCTCCAGATTTACCCATGTTGTAGCAAAGGACAGGATTTTTTTTTTCTTTTTTAAGGCTAACTAGTACTCCATTGTGTAAATATACCACATTTTCTTTATCCATTCTTCTATCAATGGACACATTGTGAATAGCATTGCGATGAACAACATGGGACTGCAGATACCTCTTCATTGGAGTGATGCATTTTTGTATATAGACCCAGTAGTAGGATTACTAGATCATGTAGTAATTTTATTTTTAATTTTTTAAGGAAGTTCCATACTGTTTTCCATATGTAACCAACTTACATTCCCACCAACAGTATGCAAGGATTCCCTTTTCTTTTCTTTTTTTTTTAAATTTTTTTGAGTCAGAGACTTACTCTGTCACTCAGGTTGGAGTGCAGTGGCATAATCACAGCTCACCATAGCATTGACCTCCTGGGTTCAGGCAATCCTCCTGCCTCAGCCTCCCAAGTAGCTGGAACTACAAGCACATGCCACCGTGCCTGGCTATTTTTTTTTTTTTTTGGTAGAATGGGATCTTGCTATGTTGGCCAGGCTGATCTTGAGCTCCTGAGCTCAAGCAATCCTCCCACTTATGCCTCCCAAATTGCTGGGATTACTGGCATGAGCCATCATACCTGGCTCTAAGGGTTCCCTTTTCTACACATTCTCACCAACACCTGTTATATTTCACCTTTTTATGACAGCATTCTAACAGATGTAAGGTGATATATCACTGGGGGTAATGTATCTTTTGAAAGAGCTGGTGAGCTCATTGACTTCAACTACTTGTACTAAAAGTTCAAAAGTATATACAAATCTATATGAACAAAAAAGATTACCTTTTTTTCCTTTCCCAGGAACACAATAGCAGCGGCAGCAGATTATAATCAGAACAATTATCAGAACCAAAAGCAGTGAAAACAATACTGCAATTTTGGCCCAGGTAGGCAATGACGCACCTGGTTTATCACTACTGCCTATAAGGTCAGAAAAGGGAAAAAAAATTAGTGATAATTACACTGTCTGGAATTACTGATTCTGCCTCACTATAAGTTTCATTGTAGTTTCTAGTAATATTATAGTCATTCAACCTGTTGCAGTTAGGTGTCATAGGCCAAATTTCTTTCAATGTGTTTAATTATGCAATAGTGCATGGTATTTTCCAAATACTTATTTCTACCAGTACATAACCGCTTAGTAACCTCGTCCAAGCATTAGTTGATTAATGCTTCTCACATTACCAAGAGGTAGATAAGGCCAGACTAGGCTGGTAACTCCTCAAGATCGAAGTTCATGCCAATCACACTTGGATATCCTTTATTTAGTTAAGAAATACTTTTTGAGCAGCTACTGCTTGACAAGACTAGAGGAATGACTTTTGGCTCTCCCTTCCATGTTCCTACCCATTGAGAGTCCAGAGCCCAGAGGAAATCAGGACAATCAAGGAGGGCTACTTCTAAAGGAACTTAGGAGCACGACTTTCACTGCAGCCCCAATCCCAAATGCACCTCCCAATCCTCGGAATTAATTCCTCAACACAGTCATTGCTTTTTCCATAGCTCTTCATGGACTTCATGTCTTTTATGTCTACGTTGCCCTTTTATTTCATCCAGTAGGTATGTAATGGGGAGAGAAAAAGGGTAAGGTGAGGCAGAGCAATCAGGAGGTGGGAAGAGAAGGAAAGAGAAGCAAAAGAACATTTTGATTTTTTTGCATCATGTCTTAGACAACGCGTCCAAATGGCTTCATGTGGTTACACAAACTCAAATTTAAATTAATTAAAACTATAGGTAATTAAATATTCAGTGCCTCAGTTGTACTAGCTACATTTCAAGAGCTCATTTACCACAGATGTACAACATTTCCATCATCATAGAAAGCCCTGTTGGACAGTGTGGGAACTATATTAATGTTCCCAAGAGGGTCCTTATTCGACATTTAATTCTCTGTACTGAATCACACAGAAGTCAAGCCACAAACACTTAAATTGATCTGTTTAACTATGAATTGCTATTCAACAAAAAGCTTTCACTCAACCCTGAGTGTGTGGGTGGTATCTCAGTGTAAATGTATGTCATCTTAGATGCTAATCACTAGAGAATATCAAAACAGTTGACTGCATCTGAAGAAAAATGGGCTCTGCTTTGAAATCGATGTCCATCCACCACTTTGGAACCAGAAGTTAGAGTTTAAAAATAGCTCTTGAATGTTCTTCCTTGGAGTTTTTCTTGACAATTGACCTCACAATTGTCATATGCTATTCCTGTGTAAAAGTTAAATGCTCAGAATAAGTTGTAGGAATAGTTACAGATGATCACTCATGCCCTGGTGGCTACAATCATCAACCACCTGGATACTGAGAAGAATCCAACTGCAGAATGGTCCACAGAATTATCTAAAAATAAGTACTAAAATTCGGGAACTCTGTGTTTTTAAAAATTATTAAATATAAATATTTGTCTTTTGCCCTTCATGCAAAGCTACTCTGAATGACCTGAGATGACTTTTAATATTTCTTTCTAAGGCATTAAGAAGTGCTAAATAATTTTAAGTTTCTTTTTTTAATGCCTCACATCCATTAGAGATGGCTCCAATGTCTATGAAATCAGCTTAATTTAGCTGTTGCTTTCATTTTTTTCTTATATATCTGTTACTATCTAAACTGGACTTAGTCCTCTCAAGGTCAAGGACTATGTTTTATTTTTCTTATACCCTGAGCACCTTGCACACATCAAGAACAACAGGTAGATGGATGGATGGATGGATGGATGGATGGATGGATGGATGGATGGATGGATAGATGGGTGAATAGACAGATGAATGGGTGGATGGATGGATGGATGGTTGAATAGACAGATGAATGGGTGGATGGATGGATGGATGGATGGATGGATGGATGGATGGATGGACGGACAGGTGGATGGGGAAGGGATGGATACGCACAGATCAAGAGGATTTCCTTTGTGGCTCTACATGGAGAAGAGCAGTCTATGCACCAGGCAGTCAACTGCAGTTGAACCAGGCCTAGAACCCATGCTTCTCCCAATAGTAAGTTGTCTAGAGCAGAACTGTAGAATTGTAGGAAAACCAAACTATTTTTCTAATGCTGTCTAACTCCACATCACACACCATCTTTCTGAGATGAGCTGAGACAGGTAGGGACAGGACAAGGGTTTTCCAAGAAAAAGTGAGGGAGAGGGAACAGGATTCGACGCTTCCCATGCCACACCTCTCTAGTCCCAGAATTGGGGCACTAACATAAGCCAGTCCCTTACATGCAGAGAGCAAGTGTATCCCCTTGCTCCACAAAAAGCAGAATCCTAAGCACCACCAGAGTGCGTGTGGCACATGCAGATTCAAAGCCCAACTTCAGTGACACAGTCTGAGGGAATGGTGCCTCTGATTATTGTGATGCATGTGGTTGGTGACTTACATTTTGAGAATCCCTTGCATGCAGC